TATGAAATTCATTAAAATGCAAATTCAATACTTAATGTGCATAGCGGAAGTACTTGAAAACGTGGTTAATTATACATAATGTTATAAATGTCCGTATCAAAGCTTGTCTTCATCTGAGTCCACTATCCACACCAACACTGCTCCACTCACACCTCCTCTTCGACATGTTACCTGAAACTAAAACTCATGGGGGTGAGTAACGAATATGGATAATCATAAACCGATATCTGATCGGTAACTTAAACTTTTCTCTTATCTTGCCGATAGTTAATCGGATACGTGTGCACACTCTGATGGATATTTCTAAGGCACCTAACGGCCTCCATCAGAACTTAGGATATAATCTCTGAGAACAAATTAATGCCTCCTCATCCCAAGCGTAATAAACTTAAACTTTAGGATATACTCTGAGACAATTGATGGTCTCCTCATCCCCTCCATATCGTACTCAATGTGATACCCATTCAGGGTTCCCACCTTTTTGTCTTTGAAATCATTTAAAAACCGGTAAGTGTTGTACTGGTACTGTATCTGCAAGTTACATCAAATATAGACAAATATACTAAGTACTATGCTCATATACACAATAAGATTTTTAGGATTTTTAACTTATCCAAATTTTATAGAAATTCATTAAACTTGCTTTTTCTCAAGTTTATACTTAACTTCTCTTTTTAGTTATACTTAAGGTCAATTACTTAACCTTGTATAAATCATGTCTTCATAAACATTAATATGGTATTATACTTAGCATGTCATAACTCAAATGTGAAAATAACTATATTTCACATTATACTTGATTTAAACTTAAAATATGCTTACTTTTACCAACATCATCAACATGATTTATAAACTTATCTTAACTTAATTTGATCTTTTACTCAATCAAATACTTAATTCATCATTCATCATATCTCCAAATTGGCTTATACTAAATTTTCACTTAATTAACTTGAAAGTGAAAATAATCTCAAGCCATATCATCTTTTACTCATAACATTTAATCATGATGTTAATATATCATACATAATACAATCTTTATAAAATTGTATACTCAACATATTACACCAAAACATCATCAAATTACTCATCACTTATATGAGAATTATTCATGATCATCTCATTTTAACAACTTAAACATTTCATGAATATTCTTGCATATATACTTATCTTTAGATATATGCCTTCTTATATTCATAACTTATTCATTTCTCATCTTTAAATTATGAAACTTAACAGTCATAATCTCAACTTATAATTAGACATGTCCTAAGAATTTCATAATTTTATCATGCATATTCATCAAGTTATGAGAATTTAAATTCAATAGTGAACATAAACTTCATCTTACATGTTCATCTTTAAAAATTCATAACTCAAGCTTTTTGCCAAATCTCTTAATTCTTGTTTTCATGTACTCCTCTTTTACATAATAATCATTCATTTAAATCATACTCTTCCAGCTTATTCATATCTTTATCAACATCTCATCAAATCAAGTACATATATCATATAATTGATCTTGAACAACTTTAACTCTTTATATTCATAGAATCAATTATAAACTTAACTTCTATATCACGATATACATACTTATAAATATGTAAACTTATTATCAAAACATGAACTTAAGCATGTAACTTTAAGATATGTAAATTACCTCCTCTTGCTAGAATAAAAACTTGATTCTTTACTTCAAATTCTTCACTTCTCCAAAGTTTCTACTACTTATCTCTCTTACACTCTTATATAACTTTTGGTACTTAACTTTGGTTCATAAACTCTGATTTTTAGGCCTCTATTTATAGGCACAATTTGCAAGACATCATAATTGAGTGAAGAAATTAACAAAATAAACAATACAAACTTGTAAAAATAAATATAGATAATAAATAGTATTCTTAACTTGTAAACTTCTCTAACCCATAGTCAATGCTTAGAAAGGCCCCTCTTCTGATCCTAATCTGATCTCAATGATTAAATTCGAGATTTAGTGAAAATTCTCCAATTTACGGAACCAAATTCTGACTTAAAACGAACAGTTACCGTAAAATCGAAAATTCTTACAATTTTCGAATTTCCTTCTTTTCTTTTGGCATTTTACCTTTTTATGTTGAAAATTTTTTCTTATCTTGTAGTCTACTAAAAATATAGAGAGAAAATAATTTAATTTATTTCTCGGAACTGAAATCGGACATATATTCCGACTATAATCGAAAACCTAAAAAACGAAAATTCCAAAAATTTCATATTTCTCTCTAATAATTTAAATAGACTAAAATGTCTAATTTTCTCACTTCTTTGAACATTTATAACTTAAATGTTCATGGATACTTAACCGAACTCAAGACCTAACTTGTCTCGACTCATTATTCTTTTTCTTTCTCATTCAAACTAGAAATGGCCAAATTTACATCCATTTAGCTAAATAAAATGGAATGTTACTTGAACTTGAACTTCAACTAAGCTAGGCTCGAGAATCATTTGCTCGGTAATAATCTTAACTCGTAACCGAACATGCTTGGTTCGGTTCACGACTTATCTTGAACGAGTAATCAAAATATACTCGATTTTTATTATTCGTCATCTTATTATAATTAATCCCATCTTATAAATCCATTTATAAAAATAAACAGGCTGGAATTAATTAATTACTGAACTGGCTCGATTACTAAATAAAATTTAACCGATAATACTTTCAACTTAAAGTCGAACTTTTAACTGAATAACTTAATAACTGGGCTCGAAACTAGGAACGAGCATTATTAATAAAAGTAATTAGTTCAAACTTAGAACTAAAATAATTACTTTTATTAATTACTGAATGGGATATTACACAATCAAACTATCCGCTACGGATATGGAATCATACATGCCATGTCTGAACTGTCTCGCACAGTTTAAAGTCTGCTAGCGGAAGCATCCGAAATACAGAAGTACATAGAGTACATGCATACATATCTGAATGAATACATGATCATAAATATAAGGACATAAAATGTGCGTAAAAAATGTCCTTGCTGTCATGACCACGCTTCATCACGCATAGCTCACCCGGCACGCTCGACTCCATCTCCTGAAAAACACAATGGGGGCGTGAGCAAACCACTACGCTCCGCAAAGACCAGTACTGAATAAGACATCATGTATAATAACGTGTCATGAACATAAATATATAAGAGCTGAACTGCAAACTTTTCTTTTCTTTCTTTACTATGGTCATAAGACCCTCGGCCTCGGCCGCTCGTGTGCACACCCCGATGGGATATTAAGGCCCTCGGCCTCCACCGGTACCAGGTAAAACTCGAAAGGCCCTTAGGTCGGCCAATCACCTGGTAGATCTAACTGTCTCGAACATACCTCTGTCATGGTACAGATATTATATATAATGTAGAATCCAGTACATGACCCCCACCTGAAAACTTGGAATCTGATGCAAGTGCTGATACTGGGTAGCGGTCGGAGGCTCGACTCTCCTTAGGCTACATAAATTTTCAAGCAAAATAATGCTAAGTATAATGCTCGGAATATTAATTATATGCTAAAATGCTTGGACTTATCTACGCGATTAAACTGGACTGGACTGGCTCGAAAAAATACTAAAATTCTGAAAAGAGACTTGGACCGGAATCACGAATCAAAACGGACTCGAACTGCCGGTTTAACCGGCCGGTTCGCTGGCTGGTTGGACCGCCGGCTCGCACGGCCGAGACTGGACTGAGGCCCTGCCGTGCGGCTGGGCACGAGCAGGCACTGGCCCGACGCTGCTGGCACGGGGAAGGCGCGGACAGAGGCCCCTCGGGCGGAGAAGGTGACGGGAGGAGGGAGACGGGGGGAGGCTTTTTTAGTGGGGAAGAAGATTGAGAAAAATATAATATTATTATGTATGGTAGGTATAAGAAAATAAATAAAATAATGTATAATGCTAAGCTGTAGGTGGGTGATGTCATAACTTAATTTATTTTTTATTTATTTTACGAAGAGGGAATTAAGTAGAAGAATAATAGAGGAGTAGAGAGTGCAATGAAAGTTATTTTGTCTAGAGACTAAAAAAGAAGTTTGAAAAGAGATTGAAGATTTATTTAGAACTTACCCTTAAAACAATTCAAATGGTAATTTTAAAACTATATTGTGTTATTGACTTTTTTGAAAAACAATATCTATACATGTATGTACATAAGCCTGTATCATGATCATACTAATGGCCTGATTGATATAATGGAATGAAATTTGATAGAAATAGAATGAGTTGAAGAATGAGATGATTATGGGAATGAAATGAAACAAGTTTTGTCATTGATTCGTTTGGTATGCAGAAAAAATAAGACCGGAATGAAATGACATTATCATCCTATATTATCATTTATCACTATTTTATGTTAAAAAGAATTATATTTATATTAATGTTATTTTATTATTTTTGATAATACTAATATTATTTTATATTTTAAAAATATACTATATTTTAATAAACATAATTTTGTATTGTTACACCCTTCTTGTATAATATTACTAATATATCTAACTAAAATATTACTAATAAATAAAAATAATATTTAATTTTTTATTTTTTTAAATGATTTTATTTAATATAATTTAATCATGATAATATAGTATATATTATATATTTATTTGTAATTATTATTTGTTAATTTTATTTTTTGAAAAATTGATTTCTAAATATATGGGAATGAGAAAACCAGCCATTAGCTATGAAATGTCTAATCCCATATACATGTGTTTTGTGATTCTTATTGAAATGGTCATTCCCTTCTAAAAAATATATCAATGATGGGAATATGAATGAGTAAGAGAATGATCATTCTATTCCCACGTCATTCCCGCAAACCAATCAAGCCATATTGTTTTATTTTTTTCCAAAAAAAATAAAATAAAATAAAATAAAAAATAAAAACTTTAAAAATCCGATTATGACACGCGAGTCATTTTCTCAGTTTATACAGCCGAGTCTTTTATTTTAAGGAGTCGGCCCATGTTGTCCAAATCTTAATTGTGCAGATCCAGCCCACTCTAATTGCCCTGTAACTTCGACATTCGGAACACTCCATATAACAAATGAACTCTATTCTTCCCCGATCGATCTGCTTCAGTCGCCTCCACCAGATCTCCTTTTATTTTATTTTTTCTGTTTGTTATTTTTAATTCCTAACCTTTTTATTTTTTGTGTTAGTTTTCTGTTTGTTTTCTCAAAAATCTCATATTTCCCCTTTGTTGTCGGGTTCTTCATCTTCCGTCGCGTCATACGCCGGTAGGATCCATCCCGTGGCTACTCACCGCACCTGCATCTGCGAGACATATAAGGTTTATACATTTGTATTTTTAATTTCCATACATCTGTCAATTCATGTTTGTCAATTAGGAACATGAGAGTAGAATATTTTCAAAGGAAAACTATTTCACCCATGAAAAATTATAGTTTTTGGGCAACCTGTAAATCGTAATTTATCAATCAATTGATCATATCTTACCTTGTAAAGATTTAGCAAATTTCTCTTATTAGGGGTTGGGATCGATGAAATATCAGAAATCACTGTCCCGAGTTTAGACAAGTATAATGTATCTGTTTGATTTTTCTTTTCCCATCTCAATTGAATGAACCAATTATGAATCTAATATGTAGTTTGGGATTGCAATTTACAAGGACATCAATGGTCAATACCGGACGCACAGAAATGACTGGTAGCTCTGGTACAACTGTCACGATGAATCAAGTTTCTGTTGCTGAGAATGTTTCAGGTGAGGTTAGGATTTCTCAGCCTGTGGTGGAAACACCTGTGGATGGTCAGATCGAAGATAATGTGAAAGTACCTGTCCAAGAGATAGAGAATAAATGTCCCGAAGAATTTCCGGGCAAAGAAGAAACAGAAAAACCGACAGAGGTAGATAATAATGATGAAAATATATTTGTGTCAGATATGAATAATGAGATTAAGGCGGAGTCGGATCAAAAAAATTCTGAAGATGACGAAACTGATGACCAAGAAGATCTAATGTGGGATGATGAGGACGAATTTTCTGAAGAAGACAGTGAGGAAAATTTTGGGGACGGGGTTGGAGCTAGTGCTGGAGATTCAGGGAAAGAAGAAGATGATGAGGAAGAGGATGAAGTTAGTGCAGACGAGGAAGAAGAAGAAGAAGAAGAAGAAGAAGAAGAAGGAGGAGGAGGAGGAGGAGAAGAAGAAGAAGAAGGAGGAGGAGGAGAAGAAGAAGTGGAAGAAGAAGATGAGTATGAAGTTGGTAGCTATAAGGCACTGGAAGTTGCAGAAGGCGGTGAAATGGAAGCTAATGTTGAGGCAGATAAAACGGAAGCTAATGCCGAGGCTGATAAAACTGAAGCTAATGCAGAGGCAGATAAAACGGAAGCTAATGCCGAGGCAGATAAATCGGAAGCCAAAAAAATTGGCAATCGAAGGAAAGTTGAATCAAAAGATGATAAGAGGAAAGCTAAAGCAATAGAAGATGAAACGAAATCTACAGCTAAACGCAAGGAAAGGGAAGCTAAAGTTAGACAAAATGGAAAAGAAGCTAATGATAATAGGAGTGACAAACTGGCAGCAAATTTGAAGGATGGTAAGGAATCAAACGGAAGAAGCAAAAAGAAGGTGCAATCAGCGATGTCCAAGAAAGTGGACCCTAAAGATAAAGCAGAATCTTCACAGAAGAGAAAGGTGAAGAAGAGAGTCGAGAGCATGGGGATGATATTTATGTGCAGCTCCAAAACAAAGAATGACTGCTACCGATACAGGGTTCTTGGGCTGCCAGAAAGCAAGAAAGATATTGTAGAAAAGATTTATACCGGGATGCGATTGTTTTTATATGATGTCGATCAAAAGTTGCTGTATGGAATCTATAAAGCTGCGGGACCTGGAGGCTACAACATTGAACCCAAGGCCTTTAAATCACAGTTTCCAGCTCAGGTTAGTGATATGTTAAACCTATCTTTGGAAATGAGGTTCATTTCGTGATTGTTACCTGACACTCTATACTTAGGCAAGTGGGTTAAATACAAAAGTCCTGATCCAGTTTTAATTTTCAGATTGTGCGAGTTCAGTCATTAAATCCTCTTCTGTTATAGGACTAAGCTTGTTGCGGTGAGTTTCATCATTAGTATAATAGTGGTGCAATCAGTGGAACTCTTTAAAAATTGCCTTTAGATCATAGCTTACATTTTGTTGTTAGATGGCAACTTATAACATATACTTTCGTCTTATGTGTGTTGTTCTTACTTATACGTTCTTATGTGCTATGGGAAATAGTAAATATCAGGAGCTATTACTTTGAAGTATTGCATTTTTCAAGGGATGTCTGGAATAGCATCTATTTTGATAACAGTTATACAGAAGATGTATAAATTAATTCAGGCTGTCTGAGACTTTTATTTGTTGTGATCTAAGTAATGTGATTTTCTTGCTAGCGGTTCAGTATTTTGCCTATTCTTTGCAGAGTCATGTCCAATAATCATTGTATCTAAATTTAAAGCCTTAATCTACGGGAAATTGCTAATTTGTTTGTGTAAATATATATGATGCATTTTTCAACAAGATGTGATGAGTAATGGAGTAAGGACTCTATCCTTTCCTATCCTATGGTTTATATGGCTTTATTTAATTTATATAATTGTTTGTAGTTACTTTTATGAGTTTAGTTTCTGTATAAAATGTTTTTCTTTAGCTCTATTAGGAGTTCTTTTGTTTCCTAGTCATTTTGTGGAGTGGCTTTCATCCCATCCATGACTAATATTATCATATCTTGCTAAAGTACTTACAAGGATGCTTCTTTAACGGTCATTTTCCTTCAGATGATGGTATGAGCCCTTTTTGACCCACATTTCACATTTAAGTCCCAGCTGCAATCTTCTTCTATTCGATTATAGAACATTTTTCATGTAGCACAACCTTGACAAAAACTGTTTATGGTGCTATTTTTGCACCATGAACAATATGAAGCACTGAATACTCCTATGTTCCTTCAAGCCATCGTAAAAAAAAAAGTGTCATGTTTATCCATTATCTGTCAACAATGCATATGGCATTCTCTATAAGTTCTTGGAATAATAGATTTGACTTCAGATTTCACAGTTTGTTTTACTAGTCACAGAATCTCGTCCTCGTTTGTCAGTAGTCTGACTGGATGTTTAGCTACAACAATTTAGAAGTTCTTGTAAGCTTCTGCATTTTATCAGATGTTCTTGAAGCTATATGATGCTTTCTTATTTTATAAACAAGCTATTGGTTGCTGAAAAAGAATGTTATTCAGGCTATAAAGGTTATATAGGAATCAGTGTTATCAAATGGCGGTATGTCGTGTCCGATTTCTGACAAACCACCATGCTGAATTTGTGAAGGATGACGGTTATGGCTGCACCACTGGCTAGATTTTTGCCTACCGCCATTTCCGCCATCCCCCATTGATAACACTGATCGACATGCTTGTGTATTAATATTTTAGGATATATTTACTTTCTCATAAGATTGCAGTATCTTTGTTTTGTAATCTTATATGAAGTCTCCTGGTTATTTTATCAGGATATTTTGATCTCGAGCGCCTTTTATCCTCTTCTCAATTGCTTATAAGCTTATCTAAATGCTTCAAGAGTTAATGCTGGGATGAGTAAAAATAAAAACTTATATTAATGAATCCTTAAATCTTTTAATCAGTTTATGGATCAGATTGAGATAGTATTTAGCAGTTACATTTCTGTTCTGATCAACAGATATTCTCTCATTAAGTTCTGTAATTACATAATTTATCGTCAAATCTCAAAGTATTTTGTGGGAGGAATGCTGGTTAGCTACTCAAGAAATTGTGTTCTATAGGAGCAGAACAGGTTTAAAGTTGTAATTGCTTGAGAAATACTAGTCCTATGACTGGTAGCTGTTGGTTTTGACACTCATCTTCTGATGCCATTTCGGATATATGTAAAGTTGAGATATTTATTATTGTGAAAGAGATCAATGGACACGTAGGAACCCCTGCAAGGTAACTGATATTTTAGTGATCCATACGATAATTATATTAATTTGAATCTATCAGACTGAGGCCCAACTTAAAGACATTGCAATGATCTGTTTTTTTGTTGGTTTCGTTGGATCATAATTGGAAATTCTTGAGTAAATTATTTTACTTTAGCGAGTTGGAGAACTTTCTCTTTTCAGGTTTGAATCTGATTCATCTGCCCATGGTTGCATCTATTGATGAAGTTTTGGCTACTTAGTCAATGTCTGTATGTTAGCTATGTCTATGCTCTGCTCTGATATTTTATGTCCATCTTTGAAGTCCCTTTTGGTTTTGTCTTGATAAAGTTTTTGTCGAACACTGATAGAAAAAGGTGTGTGAGCCTCTTAGGGTTAAAGTGAAGATTTTCAGTACGCATAGGGAAGAGAACTAACTAGATTATTTTCATTTTGGTATGCTACATAATTCAATGGTTTTTATCTTATGCAATTCTATTTCTTTCAGAACATCAGTAAAGGGGGTATCCTATTCTTTTATCCCCTTTTTATCTGTTGTGATGTGATACTTTTGAATATTTGAACACCCATTGATTATTGACCTTTTATGGACAAATTGATAGAAGAGAGCCCACAGTTTAAAATACAGGAAGTAGGATTTCTGGACTTGTATGGTGCACTTGAAAGATATTTGGATATAAGATCAATGCAGATGGTTTGCATATCCTAAAGATTTTCCACCTACACTGGGACTAATCATTCTATTTATTCTGCATATGTGAGGAGAATAGTGAATAGTCCTGCTGTGAAAAGTATTTTGTCTTTTTATTTATTTCATATTTTAGAGATCAAACCAGTGTCGTCAAATAGCTGCCATGCAGCTTTGCAATGGCGGCGTGGTGATGATGGCGGAAAATTGTGGACTCTGCCCAGATTCAGCCCCCAAAAATAAAAAAGTAATTGGCCTGGGGCTCAGTTTTGCCAAAATCAACCAATATCTGTAAACAAATGTGAACTTGAATATTAAGAAAACCTTAATTGCTGCGAGAAAGAGAAAGAGAAAGAGAAAGAGAATTACACCCTCCCGCTCGCGACCCAACCTTTGGCGATCATTTTAATTTTCATCTTTGTTTTGTTAAAAAAAAAACATTTTTGGCTGCCCTTTATTTATTTGCTGTTTATTTGATTGCAGTTTTTAGCACTTTCTTATGCCACTAATGTTATTTTTATGTATTTATTGACATGTTTGAACCTTTTAATATGATGTTATACATGCACACACACACACACACACACACACATATATATATAGTACGTGGCCTCCACCATTTTCCTACACGCCATCTTCAATATATATGACTGTTTTTTGGCATACCGCCATCCTCTACTTACATCACTGTACCAAACTTTATTGTTTCGATGTGCAATTATTGCTATCCTCCAAAACTAGCTGTTCTCGCTCTATTATCACGAAAATCTGAGTTTTTTCTGAACAAATTCGTGTGGTTCTGTTACCTTTGCATCTGAGAAATATGCTGGAAGCTGGCAACTTTGATGCTTCCTTCTTTTATGTTTTCATGGCTGATGACGAATTATTTCCAGATATTCTTTCACAGATCTAGCAATAGCATCAATGTTAACTGAATCTACATTAGACGCATGTAAACCTGATTCTGACTCAAAAAAACTCGATATCAGGTCCGGTTTACTGTTCTGGACGATTGCTCGCCGTTGCCAGAGGAGATGTTCAAGAAAGTCATCAAGGATAACTACTTCACAAAGACCAAGTTTGATTGCCAACTGAAGGCAGAGCAGGTATATACTATACTATCCACAAAACATCATCTATCTCTATATAAAACTTGCATATTAAAATTGTTCCCTCAGGTAAAGAAGCTATGCAAACTGTTTGCCATTTCCAGCAAAGGCCATCATCTCTCACAGACGAAGCCAGGTGGGTCCCACCGCAGGCCCGAACCGAAAGCCCGTCCATTGCCCAAGAAACGCAACAACCGAGCTGTCAGATTGGGCGAGGAATACCGTGAACGGGCCCACAAGCGCCCGAGGAAGGCCTTAGTCAGCAGCCCACTGCCTTCTTCGCGGGCCCCACACCCATATTATCCCTACAGGAGGAACAGTCCTACCCATATCGATACCTATGCATATTCTTACAGGGACTCGGCTGTTGTGATGCGAAGGCGGGACCCTTATCTGGAGGGACGAGATTCGTACTACAGAGAGATGGAGGCTCGTGATACATACAGATACCCTTCTTATGGGTCATCATACAATACAGAGCAGCGGGACCCGTACAGATACACTTCTTATGGTAGGGGCACAGGCACAAGAACATACCCTCTGCTGCTATCAGGCAGTCTTGATAATATGTACTTGGAGGGGCGTGGGGACGTTTTTAGTTTCGACAGGCCGGAAATCGGAGGCCGGGATTTGTTCGTTTCGACCAGGCAACGACCGATGTATGGTGATCCGGGAGAGTATTCTTACCGGGAGTACCGTCTGTAGGTTGTGATTTTACGAGTGATGGTAATAATATTTGTAGGAGTGTGGTGACAACGTCCTCATATTTGCATTCATAGTGAAGATAGGGGAGAGATGGTGCAAGGATTCTATGGTCGACATGGTCTTTGGTAGTGTGTGACGCTGCGTGATTAATAATAAATTATACTCTTTTGTTATTTGTGATTAATAATGAACTAGCGTTTGATGTTAAATGCATTAGTGAATTATAATTTAAATGGCAATTTATTTACACAATTTTTGTTATGGAGCCATCGGATGACTCAGCTTATAGAGTTATCCACACTTATTCATGAATAGTGTATTGACACGTGTCTTACAATAAATACACTTTGAACAGGTATTAATACATTAAGTGGCAGATGGCTCCATAAAAATCATCCGATGGTTACATAGAATTTTTATTTATTTACAATAATGTCACCTATTAGATGTTAAATGCATTGGTGAATTGTAATGTATTTACAGTAATGTCTAATAGACATTTGAAACAATTATATATATATATAGGGATGTACATAGAATTTTTTATTTATTTACAATAATGTCACTTATTAGATGTTAATGCATTGGTCAATTGTAATGTATTTACAGTAATGTCTAATAGACATTTGAAACAATTATATATATATATATATATAGGGATGCATTCCCGCGATAAAGATTATCAGTGAAAGAAATAAGAATAAATCGTATTCATTGAATCGAATGATTTGATGAATAAAAAAAATCAAAATTATTTCTTCATTAAGGATAATGTGGTAAATTTTTAACCAATAAAGTGGGACCCAATACAACAAAACGCATTCACACGTCCCAAACAGCTCAACTACTTTCTCTCTCCTCTCATCAACTTTGAATTAAATACCTTTTATCTCTCTCCACGCACAACCCAACACACACTAAACACTTTCTCTCTCTCACACACACACCCAAACACATCTCTCTCTTCACGCCCACTGTCGCCGGCGACGCTTCTTCCGCTAACTCCCACCGGCGACACTTCGCGACCACCAGCACAAGGCTCACTAGCTCAGGCAGGGACGACTCGCCGTCGACCACCGGAGAACTCAACTCGGCCGGCAAGAAAGAAACGGCGCCAGGATCAACGGGAGGGTGTCGGGTACGGCGGAGGTCTCTGACTTAGCACGGCTGGAGTCGGTCCACACCCTGGCGAATAACGGTCGCGGCGAGCCGGTTGGCAAATTTGGGTGCGGTTGGGAGGGCGGAAGTCGGCGAATTTCCGTCGTCGGAGATGGAGAAGTTGAATGGCGCGGTGCAGGGCCGAAGAGAGTCGTCTGGGAGGGTAGACGCCGACGCATATCCGCCGGCGACACTGACGGTGATGCCAGACGGCAGCGAGAGAAACTTCAAAGAGTGAACAGTAGACTTGTGTGTAATTTTTGAAAAGTTATGGGCCGCATTTTGAGAATTAGATAAATATGGACTTATATGTAATTTTTGAAAATTTCAGACATTTTGTTTTTATCAATTTAGTGCATGGGTTACATATTTATACAACAATATATTTCACATATGTAAAAGTTTTGTTCATTTCGGTCTTGCTTTCGGCTTTTTTTACCAGAAAAAATAAAATAAAAAAAACACATAACAAAATTGATTGACTATATAAAAAACTATTATTCTTATATTTTATATGTATAAAATCTATTTTGACTATATAAATAAATATAAACTAACAAATACTAAATATATATTTTATTATAAAAATAATTTAATGAATGCACAAACAATGTTAATTAAAATACACATTTTTGAAGTTTTCTAAAATTAAAATGCACATTAAAAATATTCGTACGATAGAGCGCACAATAATGATATATTAAATGCACATTATTTCTTGTGTGTATGCACTTTATCGATTTTGGTATTACATATATTATTTTTTCAACTAAAAATAATATAAAAAAAAAATATATTAATACTAAATATGTGTTTAATGTAAGTATAAATTATTTTGATTTTACATAGTAATTTTAAGTTAATCGTCCAAAAAACTGAATTAATATAAGACAAAAATTCGTTTAGTTAACTTCAAAATAGTGACACGCTAGTGCACAATAGTATTCAACCAATTGCAGTAATTTTAAAACCCACTAAGACCATAAATCATAATATTGTGCATGTTAACACATCATATTGTGCATTTTATGTAATGTTAATGTGCATTTATTGAGCTTTTTATAAATTACATAGCTACCTCACCTATTATAGTGCAATATATTAAAAATGCTAAAATTGCAACAAGATCCCTAAAACATGTCTAATTTTCAACCACAAGTCCCTGCACCAAGAAAATATATAAAAAAAAAAAAGCGTCCCAAACGCCCCTGCAGTCCCCGTCATTGCACACACACACATAAAATACACACATGACCCTCGGCCCTCCCCCTCCGCCCTCTGCCCTCCGCCAATCGCCCCACCGCCGGGAAATAGAAGCTCATATAGTACACCAGCCTGGCCCTGTCGGTCATTACCTTCTGGAGCTTCTTCGGTGCCGCCGACCACCGCGACCTGCGGTCCGGCGTTCGGAGCTCCACTGCCCTCGCCTCAACGTCCGACTCGTCCGCTCTATCCAATTGACGCCATCGCCGAAGTCGAGTTCCATCGAATCTCCTCCGCCGGCGGCAGTCCGCTCTTTCTGCAGACCATGTCCATTGTCCACCGCTCCCAAATGTCGCGAAACTGCCGTCCTCGGCCACCTCAGCATCGTCGACAAGCAGAGGCCACGCTGGCGACATCGAGATCTGTTTCTCTCGGTGATGGCGGGAATGTTGGGTTGGCGGCGGCGGCAGCGATGGGACTGTTGGTTATGGCGTCGACGGTGACGGACTGGGGCTGGGCGGCGCCGGTAATAGTGGTTGCCGGCGGACTCATTTTGTGTGTGTGTATTTGTTCCATAAATGTGTGACTGTGTGTGTTTTTCTTCTATAAAATGCGTGTGTGATGTGTGTGAGAGAGGAGAGAAGGTGAAAAGGTCAGTGTGTGTTGTGTGTGAGAGAGGAGAGAAGGTGAAAAGCTGAGTGGGAGAGAGGAGGATGGGGTAGGTGACGAGTGGGTTTGGGGTGGATGGTGGATGTGGGTCTCACGGAGTAAGGTGACTAATTTACCCTTAATTTGTGGTCAAATATATATATTTGGCTATAATATTACTACTTATTTATTATATTGCCATTAATGGTTGACTAAAGTTTGACTTGATCATGACCATTAATGAGATGAATCTAGTGGTTAGGAATCATTCTTCTTTCTTTTATTGTGCTTCATTCTCAATTGAGCGCACACACACACACACACACACACATATATATATATATATATATATATATATATATATATATATATATAGGGGACGGATCCAATGGGTCCACCTCTTAAAATGTGGACGTGACACCCAATCTCAACCGTTGAATCTGCCTTTTAAATCTACGGTCAGCATCAGGTATATATATAATTATAAAATCACAAGCTGAAAATCACAAACCTTCAGCTCCCTCGCACACAAAATCGGAATAATATCTCAGATTTCCTCCTCAATCACGATTCTCTGCGATTTCTTTCTCAAACCTTCAGCTCCCTCGTACACAAAATCGGAAATAGTATCTCAGATTTCTTTCTCCTCAATCACAATTCTCTGCTCATTTATTTGAGAAAATAAGCTGCACAAAAGTCCATTTCATCAGATTTATCTACAAATGTCGACGGAAGCAGCTTCAATGGAGATCGAAGCAACTCCAGTTGCGACATTAATGGAAGAACTTTTTTTATTCCAAATTGATTCATCAAATTTAAATAAATAGGTGCTGATGAATTCACCATGAATAACAATCGAGTTATTCAATTAGAATCAATCACGTATTGTTCGTGCTTATCTGCAATTTTTTTTTTGTAGAATCTCTATTTTCTGGCAAGAATATTATATAATGTTGAGTGCAGTTGTTGAAATTATTCGTTGTTGATGCAGTAGTTGTTGATAATGTTGAAAAAATTGTTCATGTTATTCTGGAATGGGTAAATAATTTTTTGCATCCTGTACTATACGCGTTTTTGGCATTTGCAACCTAAAGTTTTTTTTTTTTAATTATTTGCAACCTTTAATACACGTTTTGTCTGTATCGCAACCTAACGGCCATCGGAGTCCATATTCCACCGGAAAAGCGAGCGTGCGACTCGCACGCTCGAAACTTGAGGGTAAGATCGCCAATTGAAGTGTGTGACTGTTCGGTATCCCACAAAGTAAAGCAAATAATTTTCAAAGTTCACAAAATCCCCAAATCAAAAACTCAAAAACCTAGGGTTCTTGCCTCTGCGATTTTCAATCGCGACACCCAATCTGAAACTTTCATTCGATTTAAACATAGAAATTGTGAATCAAACTTGATCGCGATCTTGATGGGCTGGAAGGTACGAGACGACAATGAGAATCTTCCTCCTGGAAGACTGTGCCCCGATTACGGTTTGTTTTTCGAACCCTAACTTTTTTTTTTTGTTTTTTCTTGTCGAATTTGACGCAATCTATTTATATTGGTAGTATGTTTGTGATTATGCCTTCTCATTTCTCATGTGGAGATAAACTTTTTGAACTTGCCGACAGTCCATGGATTAGTTGAGAATTATAATCATTTTTTTAATCTAAAATTGATAATATTCTTATCCCTTCAGGTCCCAGTTCACAATTGTTTACCATTTCAATTCATTATGGTGGGCAATTTCTGGAACTTGGTGACACTTGTTACACTGGTGAGCACATGAGGGTAAGGCACATTGACTATTGCGACCCTGATGAACTCTCGTTGATTGAAATATTCTGTATGGCTTCTGAAATTGGGATAAAAGATGTTAAGTGTGTGCATTGTAGTAGAAATTGTGTAAATGATTGTCGGTCTGTGTTTGTCTTGCAAAATGACATGGATGCTATAAATGTTGTTAATTGGGTTGATAGTAATAGAATGGTCGGTTTATATGTTGAACATATGGAGGGCACAGGGATATCTACTCAACCTTCTGTTGATTTGCCTTCTGTTGATGAACCCTTGCCTTTTGTGGGGGATGATGGGGATGATTTAGATGATATGATTGATAATTGGGGGGAAACGAATGTTGATGATATGGGTGATGATTTGGAAGCCCAATCTGATAGTGACTCTGATAGTGATTTTGAACTCCAATCTTTTGGTTCAGACTCTGAGTTTTCTGATGAACTTGTTGAGAGTGATTGTGATCTATATGATGAAGATGATAGGTTATTTGAGTGTCATGCAGATGCTGATATTGAATGGGGAGGGGTAAATAGAGATGAAACTTATGTCCCCGAATATGTAGGTAGCCAGTGTAAGCAGAAAAAAAAAATTGGGCCATCCAACTTTTGATCATAACAAAGACATGAAAAATCCTCAATTTGAATTGGGCATGACATTTCCTGACTTGGCCATGTTTAGAAAGGCAGTTAGGAACTTTGCAATTGCACAGGGTAGGGATGTGTGTTTTACCATTAATATGAGCTATAAAGTGCAAGCAAGATGCAAAAATAAGTCATGTCCTTGGGTTATTTATGCATCCAAACTTCAAAATGAAGACACTTTCAGGTTAAGACTTACAATGGTAGGCATAAGTGTCCTAGAAACCAAAAGGTAAGTCATGCTAACCCAAAATGGATAGCTGAAAATTACAAGCACAAGATATTAGATAATCCTAAGTGGCCTGTAGAGGCAATGATGGCAGAAATGCAGAGGGAAGTAGGGGTAGTTTTCAAAAGATGGCACATGTACCAAGCTAAAAAATATGTGTCTAAGATTGGTGTGGGGACTGACAGTGAACAATATGCCATGCTTTGGTCTTATGCTGAAGAGATTAAAAAAACCAACCCTGGGACCACTGTGGTAATTAAAGGTAAACTTGTTGATGGAGATCCACTGTTTAAAAGAATCTATATTTGTTGGGGTTCATTGAAAAGAGGGTTGCTGAATGATTGTAGAAAGGTGATTTGCTTAAATGGTTGTCATCTTAAATCATCTTGTGGTGGTGTTCTACTCACTGCAGTTGGTGTTGATGGAAACAACTGTATGTATACTTTTGCCTATGCTGTTGTTGAAAAAGAAACTAAAAAAATATGGCATTGGTTTGTTGACCTGTTGAAAGGGGATTTGGGGATTGAGAATTCTTTTTTGTGGACAATAATGTCAGATAAGCAAAAAGGGCTGGTAGATGCAATTGAAAATCTATTTCCAGATTCTGAGCATAGGTTTTGTGTCCAACACTTGTATGGAAATTTTAGAAATTCATTTAGGGGATTAGCCCTGAAAAACTTGTTGTGGAGAGCAGTCCGGTCCACAAGGGTTGTTGACCTTCATGCTGCAATGAAAGAACTGCAAGGGAGGGACAAAGAAGCTTTTGGATGGTTGGCTAAGAAACCAGCAAATCAGTGGTCAAGGTCACACTATAGTTGCAACTTCAAGTGTGATATGCAGTTGAATAACATGAGTGAGTCTTTCAACTCACTAATCCTGAGAGCAAGGAGTAAACCTATTGTTTCTATGTTGGAAATAATAAGACTTATCCTGATGAAGAGGACCTACATGAGAAGGGATCAAATGAGAAAACATTTGCATGGGAACTTGTGCCCAAAAATCGTGAAGTTGTTGGAGGAATTGAAGAAAAATTCAATGGGTTATATTTGCCACTGGAATGGGGAAGACCAGTGTGAAGTAGAGGGGAGCTCAAGTAGATTTAGAGTTCATATGAGGGAGCATACCTGCACTTGTAGGAAGTGGGACCTCACAGGTATCCCTGTGAGAATGCAATAAGTGGCATATTCTTGTTGGGCACTCAACCAGAGGACTATGTTGCTGACTGGTATCACAAAGAAATGTTTTTGAAAGCTTATTCTGAGATGATGGGCACTCTTCAACCTCTTGAGTGCTGGCCAAGTGTAGAAGCAATGCCATTGAACCCACCATATATTGGGAGACTGCCTGGAAGGCCAAAAGGCAATGCCAGAAAAAAGCAGCCACATGAAGTGGTTCAGATAGGAAAATCCAAAAAACAAGTTCAAGTGAAGCTGAGTAGAAAAGGGAGACTTATAAAGTGTTCTCCTTGCAACAAAGACAGCCACAACATTAGATGTTGTCCATTAAGAACTGACAAGAGTGCAGCAACTGAGGTAGTTGTTAAATATTTGTAAATTTTTTGTTTCTATTTTTGTGTTTTATACAAATAGTAGTTTCTGTAAATGTTGACTTGGATAGGTATATTTACCATTGTTTTTTTTATGAAGGGTAAAAAAAGGAAAGCAACTTTGAAAGAAAAAAGAGTGAGTGCCCCTAATGAGGACATCTCTGTGGTCAAGGTAATGTCACAAGTAGTTACATATGTCTGTGCTTTATTTCTTATTACAGTTAGTGTTTATGTGTATATATATATATATATATATATATATATATATATATATATATATATATCACAAATTGCATAGTCACATGTACATTGTTGTTTTCTATGAAGGGGAGGAAGAGGAAAGCACATGGGAGAGAAACTGAAGTGTATGCCCCTGCTGAAGATTATGCAGAGAGAGAAGTACCTGTCCCTAATGAAGAGGCTGTTGTGTCCAAGGTAATGTTTTATATAAATATAAATATTTCAGGTTGAGTTTCAGTGCATTAGTGTCTACTATTTCATTGAAGTGTCTGTTTTTTTTTTCTTATTCATTTAATGGATAGTTACATTGTACATTGTTTGTTATGAA